TTTTTTTTTTTTTTTGAGTTAATTTTTCGCACAATTTCTTTGTTATTCAGTATTTGTTGAAACTTGATAATTGACATGTATATATTCATTTATTTATTGGATCTAGTGTCGAGATTATGAACGCTACGAGCACGGAATCCCTTTGACCGAGGTGCGTGTGTTATGCACCAGCTTAGACTTGAACAACATGAATGACAATATTGTGCTTAACTACATCTTCAGGGTGTGGAGCCATCTTCAAACGCTTGATATCACTAATCAGGTTAGTATATTTATTTTCAAGGACTTGATAATATGTAGACGGATATGGCGGGTTCTGTTGGTTCAATAAAACCTACTATTAGTTTTGACTTGAATGATGTATATATGACACATATAATTGGTATAGATATACAATTATTAAGATCACATTAGTTGTGAATCCACTTTAGATTCTGGATTTTCTACAATAATAACAACGGCAAACCCAATGTAATCCCACAAATTGGGGTCTGAGGAGGGTAGTGTGTATGCAGACCTTACCCTTACCTTATGAAGGTAGAAAGACTGTTTTCGATAGACCCTCGGCTCAAGGAGAGATTCTGGAGTTTCTACAATAATAACAACAACAACAAACTCAGTGTAATCCCACAAAGTGGGATCTGAGGAGGGTAGTGTGTATGCAGACTTTACCCCTACCTTATAAAGGTAGAAAGGTTGTTTCCGATAGACCCTCGGCTCAAGGAGAGAATCTGGATTTTATTTGAGAATACTTGTGAAACTTATTCCCCCCCCCCCCCCCCCCCCAACCAATGATGCAGGTTGGGAAGACTGTAGATTATGAATCCGCTTTTCCTCTGGAGTATTGGTTTTGGGAAATGAAAGAGTTGGCAGATAGTTTTACTCATCATCTGAGACGGGTGCGGATTAGAGGGTTTACCGGAAAAGAGCGCGAAATCAGACTCGTAACTCATATGATAAAGAATGCTTGTATGTTGGAGAAGCTAGTAATTCAGTGCAGTGATGGTTGTTCAACACAAGGAGCTGCTGCTACTCAGGGACTACAATCTGTGCCCAGAGCCTCTATTAATGTATCTATAGTCTTGAATATGCCTGGAGATTAACATTTGTTATCAGTTTTGAAGTTTTGAAGTTGGATATTGACACTTTCATTGTCATTTTCTACTATGAAAATTAAAGCCGTCAATATGGGTTAGGCCAGCCCAATCTAGCCTGTGATTTAGTAGAGTTGGGCTAAATTTTTTGGAGCCTATTTAAAAACAAGGTTTTTAAGGGCGGCCCAAGTAAGCCCGTAGCCCGTGAGGCCGGCCCATGCGCTTAATAACGTATTTAATTAAAAATTTAAAAAAAATTATAGGAAACTAAAATAACAAGAAGAGTAGTGTAATCTCAAATTAGTAATCTTTTTTATGTGAATATAAATATTTTTTGGTTCTTAAAATTTTAGTTATTTCTTAATGTCTAACTAATTATACATTTAGATAAAAACGAAGATGTTAAGACATCTTTGTTAATATTGCATTTTAGGTTAAAATTTATATTTTTAAGAATATGAAAAATAATTTTAAAAAGGGGAAGTTTAGCAAGTACGCACGGGGCGGAAAGTATTTGCATGCCTCTACCCATTTTTTTTCCCTATCCATTATTTTAATACTGAGTCAAATGAAATCAAACTAAGCTACTATAAGCCAAGCCAAGCCAAGCCAATTTTTCAAGTCAAAACAAAGCCAAACCAAACCAAATCAAGCCAAGCCAATTCAAGTGACGCGAAATAAAGCCAAGCCAAATTAAGCTAATCTAAGCCAAATGGGTAAAAAGAAGCTAGGATGGGTGGGTAGGTAGGAGTAGTTAGTTTTAATTTGGTAGGTATATATTGTAAATAGTTTTCAAATGGGTAGGAAAGGGTAATTCATTTAAGTTTAATGGGTATTTTGCATAAATTGCTCTTTTTAAAAATGCTGGGCTAGTCCGTCACCCATATAGGGTTGGGTTGGGCTGACCATTTTAAGGTCCATTAAAATAGTGGGGGCCCAGCCCAGTCCGTCAAATGCCAAAGCCCGCGTGGACTGGGCTTGGGCAGGTTAGGTCAGCCGGTATTGACAGCTCTAATGAAAATCCTGTTTACATCGTCATTTATTATCCTGTTTGCAGCGTAATTTTAGTAATAGTAAAACACAGCAACATTACATAAGGAGGTGTTACTCAAATAGTTAGGTTGAAAGAATTGCACAACAATTTGAGAATCAAACTTCTGTTGGGAATTGACACCATTTAATGGAGGCAAGAAATCATCTTAATCAATCAATATTAATCTAGCCTTGAATTTATTTACCGAGCCATCTGCTTTATGCTTGATCTTTTAAATCCACTTGCAGCCAATGGCTTCTTTCCCTGCAGGCAATGAGACTAAGTCTTATTATTTTTTTCCTGGGCATTGATTTCTTCCTGTATAGCATCTCTCCGGCAAGAATGATTGGAGGCTACAGCAAATGATTCAGGTAGAAGATTGAACTGAGATGAGATAAGCTCGATCTTTGAACCGTACCGATATCCGAGAAAAATTGAGATGATTGGGACGATTTCAAAAAGTCTATTATTAGTTATACAAAATAAAGTACGCGAAAAATTAGCATGGTACAAATTTTCTAAAATAACCAGCCGAACTGACTTGGAATAGCATTGACACTTCTACATAATAGCATAGATGACTTGGAATTTGGATTAATTACAAAATATTAGAAATAGATAGACCTAAAATCAAGAAATAAAACATTACAAACGATTTAAATATCTCCTCATCCAAGCATATCTAGCAAAAGATAGAAACCAATAATAAAGGTTGAAAATCTGATACCAACAAGAAACTAATGCTTACTAGAAGAGTTTTAAAATAGTAGTAATTAGCCATCTATAGATACCATTTGTTATATTACGGATTATAGATACCTTTTCTGTGGTTATAAGATGTATTTAAGCTATTGTATTCATGAATACAGTAGCAAAAATAGACGTGATTCAGGGAAATCCAGCTAATCAGTTGTTGTATTCGAGTGTATTCGACTGTATTCACGGCGTGAAATAGGGGATTACACTATTTTTAAAACGGAAAGTGAATCAATTAACATAACAGACTCCTAATATAACTCAACAAACTCAATTATAACATACAAATTTTGTATTTTCAGTTATAAAAAAGATTCTCAACCGAAAAATACCCCAAAAATATAGCAATCTTTAGAGAAGTTATATAATACATCTGAAAACATAAATTATATTAATTAAAAAAAAATATATGAATACATTCATGGCATATAGCGAGACACTGGATACAATGAAATACATAGAATACAGCGCGATACATTGAAATACAATGAAAAAAAAGACAGTGAATACAATGAAATACATGGAATACAACGAGATACATTGAATTACAATGGAAAAAAAAAAGACAATGAATACAATGAAATACATGAAAATACATTGAAATATATTAACAGAAAATAAGTTGCTCAGCCCCAAACTCCGTCGTCTTTGTTCAAGAACAAACCCTAATTTCCGGCGAATCCGCCATACCAACATTTGAAGATACAACACGCGACACCTTTGAGATTTAAAGGTACAACACGCGTCTTCTTATTTTCATTACCTGCTTTTAGTGATTTGGTTAGGGATTTGATTTGCTTTTAGTGACCTTAACAGAGAAATCTCCTTTCTTGATCTCCTAAAATAACTCATAGCTACCAAAAATCCACCATCATTGTCCCAATTGCCGCAACCATTGCTATAAACCCTGCAAAAGGGAAATCACCCCATGGTTTTTCAGGAAGGCAAGGGCTAGACAAGCTCCCGAATGCATCGGGCAATATGTGAACGTAACCCGTGGCGAGAATTGATGACAGAGAAATCGCAATTCAAATATTCGGTGCAAGAATTGATCGGAATGAAAAGAAAGTAGTGTGGGTGAGAGGAATTTTGAGATTGAGCATCGTATTTTCAGAGAATGGGGGAAGAGAATGAGATGTATCAAAGTAGAGAGAGAAAGAAAATAGTGTAATTGAATAGCATATTTAGTGGCTTAAGGCTAGGAGGTAACCAAAATTAAATATTTTGCTATAAACCTTAAAAGGTATATGTAGAATATAATTTTTTTAAATGGTATTTATTTAAAATAAATAAGGTATTAACCTTTGCTATAGGAGGTAAAAATCTCTTTAAAATATTACAGATGTAGAGCCCGTTTGGATGGGCTTGTTTTAAGTGACTTTTAAGCCAAAATAGCTTTTAAGTCATAAGTTAGGAATTCTAACTTTTGGCTTTTGGCTTGTTTTTGTCATTTTAACTTAAAACAAGTGCTTAAAAGCACTTTATTTTTTTATCCAAACACTACAAAATGGTTTAAAAGCTATTTTGATTTAAAGGCACTTAAAACAAGCCAATCCAAACAGGCTTGTAACCTCAAGAGTGTGAGCCTTGCATAATAGATCAACAACAACAACAATCCAATAAAATCTCACAAGTGGAGTCTGGGGAGACCTTACCCCTACCCGAGGGAGTAGAGAGGTTGTTTTCGATAGACCATCGGCTCAAGAAGATGAAAAGAGACAATATATTCGTACCATCAACATAAACCATAAAAATAATAACAGCATAAGAACCAGAAAATAGATGAAAAGCAATAACAATAACCAATAAATAAGGCCCGACACTATGAAAAAAGCCGCCTTGCATGCCAGATCATTACTTACAATTACGCACAATTGCGCGTAATTGAAAGCTCAACACAACCATCATATATAGGTAATGAAGCAGCAATCGAGAGTCGATCGCTGATTCCACCTAGCAGCAACTACTGACAAAGTGGAGCCTTATCTTTGTAAGTGTTGAAAGAGCCTCTTCCATACTAATTCTTGCATCAGGTGTCATCACAGTGCAACTCAAAGCTAATTCCATGATAGATAGCAGACACTGCATCTTTGCATCAGTTTGTTCATCCCCTGGATGTACCAAATTAGCATCCACCACATTATGAATTCCACCTGGAAAAGAATCGCTAACCCAACTTCTTATGCTCAATTCTCCGGTAAATATATCATCACTTGGTCTCATTCTTGTAAACGTCTCCATCATCAGGATGCCAAAACTATAAACATCGCAGCTCGTGGATACTATACCATCCTGTCCATACTCTACAATCATGCATGGTAAAAAATGATCAAGGAACATGCTAAGCACTATTTAGGTTATTTTAAAGATGTAAGTAAAAAGTTCTGATACCTGGAGCGATATATCCTAGGGTTGCAATTGTACGTGTTTGAACAAAATCCTCCCCTACATCCAACAATTTCGCGATGCCAAAATCACTGACATGGCCAACCATTTCTTGATCTAGCAAGACATTGCTTGGTTTTAAGTCGCAATGCACCACAGGTGATGAATAACCATTGTGGAGATAGTCCATGGAAGATGCAACATCTATCATTATATCTAATCTATGCATCATGTCTAAGAAAAAGTTATGAGAATACAACCATTTTTCAAGTGTTCCATTCGGCATGTATTCCAATACTAAGGCTTTGAAATCAAGGTTGGAGCAACTAGTGATGACTTTAGTAAGATTTCGATGGCGGAGGTTGCGCAACATCTCACATTCTGTATCAAAACTTTTGAATGCACCCTCCAATTGCACATTGAATACCTTTGCTGCGAAAAAGGTACCATCCTTAAGTATCCCTTTGTAGACCTTGCTGAAACTCCCATTACCAAGCAAGTTGCTTTCACTGAATCCTTCTGTTGCTTGTTCAAGTTCATAATAAGAAATTCTTTCATGCTCTTTAACGAGCGACAAATCAGCTTGATCTTCATTCTTTTTCATCTTTCTCCATCTTAACACCGCATATCCAACGACCAATGCAAAGAGTGATCCCATCCCTAACAAAGTATATAAACCTATAAGCACTCTTTTTCTTCTTGACTTCTTTGTATATTTTGGAGGACATCGTTTCACGTTAAATCGGGAGTCACCACAGAGTGCATCATTGGACAGGAAGGATTGGCTCGTGATATTTGCAAAAGGTCCACCGGTGGGAATTTCACCACTAAGTGTATTAAATGAGATGTTCAAGTGTTTAATATACACAAGAGCTTCTAATGACTTTGGAATCTCACCACTAAGATTGTTAAAGGACAAATCCAAGAATTCCAAGGCAAGAATTTTCCCTAATGAATCTGGAATAGGCCCATCTAATTTATTGTGTGCTAAAGAAAGATTGGTCAATCTATCTAGACCTCCTATAGAGCTAGGGATATTACCTGAGAAATTATTTTTTGACAGTTCAATGAGTGTGGCAGCCTTCAAATTTCCAATCTCCAGAGGAATTTTCCCACTTAATAAATTGGACGAAACATTGAATTCTATGATATCTCGAAGGCTTCCCAAGCTTGCGGGTAATCTCGAATTCAGCCTGTTGTAAGCCAGATTAAGTGTCCTTAAACTGGTAATGGTCCCTAAGCATGGTGGCACTGAACCGGCAATCTGATTTTCCGATAGGTCTAATTCTCCAAGATTCTGTAAATTACAGATAACATCTGGTATGGTTCCTCCAATCTTGTTTTTATGTAGGTACATTTCTTGAAGTTTCAGCATGCGTTCGATGGTTTTTGGAATATATCCACTCAACTTATTGTTACATAGACTCATCCTTGTCATTCCAGTAATATTACCAATTTCTTCAGGAATGAGCCCTTCAGCTTACAACCTTGTCCATCAAAAATCTGCAGAGAGTTAGAGAAATTCCCAACAGATTGAGGTAAAACACCATCAAACGGATTGTCAGAGAACCTGAGCTCTCTCAGTTTCCTACAATTTGTCAAAGCTGTTAGGAAGCTCAATGTTGAATCGCTGAAAAAAGTATTCGCCCCCAAGGACAAACTCAAGGTATTCTAAGTTACCAAGTGATTCAAGAATTGGACCTGTGAATCTGTTGTGTGTGAGACCAAGTTTTCTGAGTCTTGACGAATTTGAGATAGTAGCAGACATAAAACCACTCAGATCATTACCACCACAAAGAAGTTCTTCTAGGCTGGGCATTTTACGGCCTAAATCTGAAGGTAGAGTACCTGAAAGCCTATTTACTCCAAGTCCAAGGGTCCTCAGTGCCGATATGTTGAAAATGCTTGCAGGAACAGAACTAGTAAACTCGTTTACAGTTAAATCCAGATACTGTAGATTCTTAAGATTACCTAGCTCCGCCGGTATCTCTCCTGTCATGTGGGGGAAATATATGAGTACCGATTTGGCGGAAAAGAAAAGAAACAAAAGATAGTAGTACTAGTAAATCATTCATGAAGTCAATTTATGGTTCTAAATTTTATGATGTTCATTGAATTAGTTAACAGATGCAGAAACTAGGATTTTCCTGAACCTGTGAAACTGTTGTACGAGAGATAAAGTGTTCTGAGTCTTGAAGAATTTGAGATTGAAGCAGAGATAGAACCACTCAGATTATTCGATCTGCAAGAAAATTCTTCTAAGCTGGGAACTCCACGGCCAAAATCGGATGGTAGACGACCTGAAAGCCTGTTTTCAGAAAGATCTAAGAACTGCATTGCTGACAAGCATTGCTGACAAGTTGAAAATGTTTGTAGGGATAGTACCCGTAAACTCGTTGTTGGATAATCCCAGCAACCGCAGTTTCTTTAGATTACCTAGCTCCACTGGTATCTCTCCTGTCAAGTGGAAAAACACTATATGAGTACCAATCTGCAGGACGAATATTTTAATTAGATTTCTTGTAAAAAGTAGTACTATTGCACTACCTTGCAAGTGCTGATATCCAAGATATAATTCTGTAAGATCTTTTAAGTTGGCTAACTCTCTTGGTATAGTTCCAGTGAACTTATTGCCAGACAATGACAAGATCTGAAGCTTTCTGCACATTCCTAGGTTTGGTGGAATAACACCGTCTAGGTTGTTAACTGGGATGTGAAGAACTTCCAAGTTTGGAAGATTTTCACATATAGTTGTTGGAAGATTACCAGCAACATTGTTTTTGAAAAGAGTAATGATCCGCATTGCGGTAATGTTAAAGATTGATGGAGGTATAGAGCCAGTAAGCTGGTTTAGTTGTAGGTCTAGGATAGTCATGTAACGAAGATTACCGAGTTCTTAAGGGATCTCTCCTTCAAGAAAATTGCCCGACACGCCCAATCTTTCTAGTTTTGTTAGATTGGAAAGGGAAGGTGGAATTTTCCCGTAAAATTGGTTGCTCGAAAGGCGCAGAGCGCGAAGGTTTGGTAACAGACTTAAGAATGATGGAATGACACCAGTAAAGTTATTGCTTTCGACAATAATCATTTTCAACCTCTGCAAATGAGACAACTCTTCTGGCAACTTTCCATGAAAAGTGTCGTTACTGATGTCAAGGGAAACAAGAAATGAGAGGTTTCCAACATGTGGAGGAACGGTACCATAAAGTTGCATGCTAGAAATGTCTAAAGCTGTGACTCTATTGTGGCGCGAGCTACAAGTGATGCCAATCCAGCTGCAAACCGGGCTGGAGGACGACCAGTTGCTTGCTATGATATCATTAGGATCAGAAGAAGAAATGTGAGATTTCAAGGCAAGAAGAGCATCTTTATCTGTGCTAATATTGCGAACAATAGCCAGTGAAGTATGGTAATGAAGCAGAAGAATGAAAACAGCAAGACCAAACAGAAGATTGCAACTTCTGCCCATAGCTATTAACCAAGAATTGATGAGGCAAAGCAATGATCAATTTTTATGGTTTGAGCATACAACAACAAGTCTCTGTTAACTTTATGGTATCAAATTCATTGCATGCAAATGTACTGTCATTAGTAAACCGATGTATGATTGAGGGGAGACAGCATTTTATTATAAAAGACATTTTAAAAATAGTTGTTGACTTGGCTATCTTAATTGGGGGTCTGGTGCCATAGTGGAAAGACGTTTAGGCTGAGGGCAATTTTGCACACTTTATTAACGGTAAGGGTGGATTTAAACAAAAAGTATAACGAAGGATACATGTAAATTATCGGGCTTTTTCCCCTTTTTCTTTCGCTAGTTTCTAATCCTCGCCCCAACTTTTTTTTTTTTTTAATTTTCTTGAGACACATGGTTTTTATTTTCTTTTTATCTTATTGGTAAATTCAGAGAGTTTCTATTCACTCTTAAAGTATCCTCTTAAATTTTTTAATTTACATTATTTTTTTATGATTTGCTTCCCAAAGTATATCTTATTTATTTGAACTATATGATAATTTCAAGTATGTATAACGCTTAAAAGAGAATGGTGACGTGTCCGCATGTTATTGACTCCAGGATGTAAGTTAGGTGTCATACATTCTTTATTTTCTTACAATAATAATTAGGTCAAACATAAGTAGAATAATATTTACAACAAGAATCTGAATTAAGGTGACCTTCATATATCCCCAAAAGGCATGATCCTGCGGAGTATGTATAGGGTGGATCCATCTAACTGTTTCTTCTAGCATGATTTCTTAATTTTGGAAAAAAAAATATAGGAATCATAAATTAATAGAAAGTAACAAAAATTATAAATAATTGATCATATGAAAAAATAATTTAAAAATTATAGTCAGACGATTTAGTGTTTCGACTTCCATACAGTATTACTATTGTTCATTGTGAGATCGGTGCAATTAATATATACTCAAATGAATATAGGTGTCTTTTTTCCAAGAGTTTTAAGTTTTTAGGTGGAATGGTAATAAGTACTCCTTCATTCTTAGCCAGAGGTCTCGAATTCGAGTCCTTGGGTAAGGAGTCGCCTTTGTTAGGGAGCGCTTTACCCCCAATGTGGGACTTCCAGGCGCGAATCGGAATTTAGTCAGGCCCCGATGTATGTACCGGACACTAGGTGGGAAACCGAAAAAAAATAAGTTTTTAGATGAAGCGGATCAAAGCAGTTGGAGATGATGAGTTCAAATCTCACCGTCAATTTACGTACTTAAAGATTCATGCAGAATGTAAGAATTGAATAAATAAATTAAAGAGTCTCTTCCGTAATATTTTAAGCTTTTAAAAAAGATTGTTCGCTCAAATTCGACATGAGGAGTAATGACCACAACGGGGTGTGGTGCGATGAATGAGATCCCTTCAACCTTAACCAGATATCTCGAGTTCGAGCCCTAGAAATGGAAAAACCCCTAGTAAGGAGAGCTTCATAAGAACTTGTTTAGATAGTTGTTACCAATATACTATATTGTATTGTTATTTTAAATAATGAGTCTATGCGATATTGCGATGCGAATTTGAGTTTTCATTATGCTAGTTATCACGATCAAGTTAAAGAAATTATTAGCATGATGTTTCTCAGAGCGATGAGTTGGAGGAATACCTGCTTCATATTCAGTCGAAGGTTTCGCATTGCCAAGCTGAAGGAACCCTAAAGCCGGTGGAAGAGGATATATAGTTGGAAAATCCTTGAAAAGCTTCATGTCCAGAAGGCAGCTTATGGTGGTGATAGTGGTGATTATGGTGGTGGTGCTGACAACCATGGTGGTAGTGCGTCATCTTGTCCTTTCACTTGGAATGAAAATTTTGAATTCAGAAGCTGTATGAGTGATAAGAAAAGGATATTGGATCTATCAATCCCAAAAACTATCTCATGAGGTAAGGATTGCCCAAAACAAATATAAGGAGACCAAATTCCTATCTCACTGCTAATGTGGGACTTCTAATACCACACCCACCCCCCTTCTGCGGCACGCCCAGACCCTGCCAACTGGCGCATGGGTCTGATACCATGTAAATAAATAGACATAAATTCTAATTCAACCCCAAAAACTAGCTCATGAGATAAGATTGCCAAAAGCTATACAAGAAAACTAAATTCCCATCATGCAACCAATGTGATACTTCTAACAGCATGTAATGGGACTTGTAATACCATTCAGTTAATTTTCTAAACCTCGTAGATTAGTCCGCAAGAATTTCTTCATATGAATAAGCAGACAACCAAGATCTGCCTCCACATACCCATCCTCGGCACAAATCCGTGTCTCACCATCTGCCTCAACACCCAGTCTAAATACCCAAGAAGCTTCCCATTACAAAGGCCATGTATCAACAGCTTATAAGACTCAAAACTTGGATTCACCCTCTTTGCAATCGTAACAGCCATAAAATCTTTTGCCTCCAAATACCTCTTGGCATCAAGCAAAGCATACAACACCTCCTGATATGTCCCTGGATTCGGATCACAACCTTTCAGCATTACTTTCTTGAACATCTCAATCCCCTCTGTTAACTCTTCGTTGCTTCCTGAGCCCCGAAATCAACGTGATAAACACGATAGCATCCGGTTCAACATTCTCTTTTTCCATGCTCTCTAACAAGCCCAAAGCCTTATCAACGCGACTGCGCTCACATAAAGCATGCATGATAGTAGAAAACGTCTTCACATTGGGTTGACATTTCTGCATAGGAAATTCATCGAACACCTTTTATGCAGCATCCATCTCCCCACAACGACACAAACCCTTAATGATAATATTGAAACAACAAGCATCAATCTCGACACCCAACTCAGAAGCACGAATATACACCTTATGAACAACATCAAATTGTTTGGTATTCACTAACAAATTCAGTACAAAATTGAAGGTTTTCACACTTGGCCAGCACTTATAATTAGGCATATCAAAAAGGGTCTCAATTGCTCTATTAATTCTACCAGCTAAATGCCCATAAATCTTAATAACATTATAGAAAAAATCATCAGAAAGTCTACACTTTCTTTCAAATTTGATCTTTTCCATAAGTGTCTCAATTGCATCAAAATTCTTAGCCATTGCTAGGTTTTTGACAACCACACTGTAAATGGCCTCATTGGGTTTATAATCTTTTCGTTTTGAGATTTGATTCAGTAAATTTAGAGCTGAATTTGGGTCTTTTAGATTTTGGAAAATTTTGATGACCTCATTTGGGCTTAACCAGTCTTTGTAGTTGACAAGGTTGATGTCATCAGATTTTTGTATTTGAGATGATGAAAATGGACGTGAAGGTGGAAAATATAGTGGAGATTGAAAGATTAATCTGTGGATAATGGGTCTGTAAGAGAGAAAAAGAACTAAAAACGTTGTTTTTGTTATAAAACCATAAAAGAAGTAAAAAGAGTTGTTATTTATTTGGAATGAATTACAATGGAATAGTAAAAAGAGCATTGTTATTTATATAGGAAAAGACTGACTTAGCCACCAATATTCACCTTAAATAAAATGCTATTTATAACACTCTCTCTTGAATGTCTATTCAACATATAATGTGCCTCGTTAAAACCTTAACTAAAATAAAACCCAGTGAAAAAAAATCTATAGAAGGAAAAAGAGTCACTTATCTAACAATACGTTTTTTGGTTGCCTGGTTAAAAATCTTGCAAGGAAAACCAATGGGACAAAATCTTGTAAGAAAAAAAGAGTACAACGCGTATTAATTTCCCCTGATGAGAGCATCAATTCACATCCTTGAGCCTTCGCATTACAATCTTGTGCACCATCTTCAAAAGACCGTTGGTAGAGACGTGATAAACAAATCAGCCATATTAACTTGAATGAATTTGTTTCACCTTGAAATCACCATTCTTGATAGAGATGTATTGTCTTCATATGATCTTGTGGAATCGCCATTTCAATATCATCACATAGGGGCAAAAACTCATGCTATCATATTATCATGTGTATAATTATAGCAGGATATATTTGTGCACAAATTGCATTGAGGATGTGGTACTTCAAGATCAGTATATGCTTTAAGCAATTTAAATCCTTTTGGGATTGTCATATAAATATAGTCAAATAAGCCATTTAAATGGACTTTAGATGCATATCAACTTTTCATGTCATGCTAGACATATAAGATAAATAAAAGTGATTGCACACACCATTGACTTTATACTTTCAAGTGTTTGAACTGTAGGTCCAAAACAACATGTCTTTCATATGAAACCAATTCTACTTGAATAGTTTGTCTAGACTTAAGATGCTTATATATATTTAGCACTATCATAATGTTGTCGACGGACATTTTATATCGGTTTCAACCTCCTTATTTTTCATAAAGACATAACATCGAGATCTCTTCATTCATATATTCAGGTACCTGAATCTCTCATGAGATTTTATGAAGTGTTATGTCATGTGACCTTCTAGATCACTTGCCTCCTTTATTATGATCATTTAGATCATTTGCTCATCTTCTTTATCAAAAAGTTTATTTGAAACCCATTTGTCTATACGCTTTAAGCGTACCATAGACTTTGTCCGTCTAGGACTTACTATAAGCGTTTGCAATGAGAATATAATTACTTTGTTTGGGTCAGCAAATGCGTCTAGCATGCTTTACAATATATTGCAAATGCATTATCTTTTTTTATGAACCTCAAGTTCATATTATCTTACTCGAGGATCTAGACGTACAAATGATAATTTATTCCGCGTAACTTTTTCTCAACTATTTATCCTGTCTCCCCCTCATGTTAGAAAAACTAACTTGTTTCCTCAACTTTGAGAACCCATCTTTGTGCGTTATGGTGTTAATCAAAATATATACCGCACATCAATAATAATAAGATGATATTATTTGGTTCCTGAACCTGAACCACTTGTGAGGGGAGAATGTAATGTACTTTCGTATATAACCTATATCAAACTGATATAGATAACTTTGCTCTCATAAGCAATAGTTTAGCTATTAAGTGGAGGCACTCAATAAATTATTTTGTTAAACTAACTGTGAGTAAACCAACTTATCAAGATGAACTTCTTGAATAGAAAATCTGGAAATTATGCTCGAAATTAAATTATTGAGCAAGTTACCTCGCAAACATCGGCCAGGTTTCGTGTTAATAATAATCGCACATGTAACCATCTCATAGATGAATCTTATGTGGTATACATGGAAGGTGAATGAGCCCATATTCACATTTGATATTTCCAGTATTCATGGGATTGAATCCCAATTTTAATTGGTCTATTAATTATTGAGAACAAATAACATAAGAGAATTAGTAAAGAACTTTCTAGTTCTTTAATATTTACCCATGTGAATTCTCTTTTGTTTTATGCACATCATACTTAAATTAACATGGCTAAACCAATTATGCCAACTGAATAAATTATCAATATAGATAAACTTCAGCTTTACACCATGACATGTGCAATTATCAATAAACTCCAAGTTTATTATGATATGGGTTTTTATATCAATAAACTTCTATTTTTATTGTGACATTCTTTTATTTCTGTAGTACAAACTGGAGAATAAAGCGGGTAGATTTTCACATACATATTGTCCCGTTACAAGTTGTAGTAATAGAAGATATTAAATCTTTCCTTTATTTATAGTCTCAATATAACCAAGCGCTTTCACGAATACTTTAGAAACTAAATAAGTTTCTTTGAGACTTACTACGACACAACACCTTATTGATAATCAATTTTATTTCTCTAAAATAGTAATAATTGGCTCTTTCAGAGCTGTTAATTAATTTGGTACTACCACATATTTATCAACATCCATATGGTAAATATCTCTTTTAAAGAGAAAGTTATACCATTATGGTTATGGTCAAATTATAAGCAAAATATGTTTCTTGCATTACCGTTGTCTTTTAATAATCACATTGCCAAAATATTTTGGCGTACAATAAGTACGTGACCAGTGACCATTTACCCCATATAATGACATTATTTTCTTATTTCCTTTCAAACCTCATTCTAGAGGTGAGTGTGGTATATTCACTACCACTAGCACGTTCATATTCTTCCAAGAATGAATATGTATTCATAAATCAGATGTTGTCAGATTCACATCATGAATGGACCATAATCATATATATGTGCTTTACAAAATCTCATGTCAAATCAATGACAAATATTACTTTCACAAAGTGGGGGATTATTTTGAGAATCCTTATTATTCTTATTACCATAATGATGACGATTATAATTTCGTCTATTGCCACGTCCACATCCATTGATACATTCATAGTAATAATCTTGTCTTCTTTTGGACTTATCACATACTGCTATCACATTCTCTTAAGGGAATGATAATGAAGCAAATCTAATGGACGGGTTTCCAATTCTTTGCCCACAATCATACATGAATTTGATCATGGCAAGGCATAAAATTTTACCACTTTGGGTGGTTATAATTTCTTTCAAACTCCATTAGAGTTACAATCTTGATTGTCTTTGCTTGTATTTAAAATCAATAGAATGTCAAAAAAAAAAAAAATTAAAAGAGAAAAATAACGTAAAATACTTACCTTAAATCCAGAATTTAATCATGAAGGAAGTTCATGGAACAATTGACAATCATTATGCTCAATCACAAAGCTTCTATCCAATTGGTTAGAGTCTCGTGCTGATAACGTGTTATAAAATAATAAAAGAAGTAAAAGAGCATTGCAGAGAAAAGTAGAGAGAGAAAATTCTTATTGATTTGGAATGAATTACAATGGAATAGGACTCCTCTATTTATAGGGAAAGAGTGACTTAGCCA